GTTAAAATTTTCAAATACCCTCAGGGATTTTCATGAGAGAGATTCGAAAATTTTTTTTCCATCATGAAGCTCAACAAGTTAATAGAATTTTCTTTATGGAATTTTTATCAATTGTTGCAATATAAAAGATGATAGACTTTCCATGGAAAAGGATGAAGATAATGAAGAAGTGAGTGAGTGAGTGAGTGAGACAGAAAGAGAGAGGATAGAGATGAGACCAGAATTTTTCTCTGAAAATATCATCAAGATGAACATGGAACTTGAAATTTTCTATGGAATCTAATTTATATCATGAAAGTAGTTTTTTTCTTTTTCTCATATCATATCAATCTGATGAGGAAGAGGAGAAGATGTAATTTCCTCCTATCCTATTACCTTTTTCATCCTCATCCTTAATCCACTTCCATGTAGCCTTTAAATTGAATTGGTTATTTACTCTTCACTCCTCTTCATCATTCATCTTGAGAGAGAGGATCTTAGGGTGTGGTAGCAGGAATAGTGTGATAGGTCAAGAAAAACTGAAATAGTTCAGTTGAAGATGAGGATTTTTGTCTTTTACCAAACAAGAGAAAGTGAGAGAGACGAATAAAAAATCATCTCCCTAATCCTAATTCTCCGAATTCTTATCACTTACTGGGAGTGAATTGTATCATATCCTAATTACCACGAACATGATACAGAACTTTTTTCTCTCACATTGTTCAGAGTCATGAATCGAGAAAGAGAAAGAGAGATGAATTGAAAGAAAAAAACAGATTCTCATCTTTATCTTCCTGTGGCTTGTACAATTGATGAATATAAGGGATGAGGATAAATTTTTTTCTCTTTTTCATTCATCAAGAACTTTTTTCCTTCTTTTTCCTGATCCATTACTTTTTTTCATCTCACCGATAAAAAGGTAGAAAGAAACAAGATATAAGGTGAAGAATATTCAATTATATCGACGGTCTATCATATAATACAATTCGAAATTTTTTCTCCCTCAAGTTTGACGATAATTTTTTTTTCTATTCGAGGAAAGTTTATGAACTTTTTTCTCGATTCCATGATGATCATCATCTTCTCCTTCTTTAATCACCATGAACTCTCTCTCTCTCGGTTGAAGTATTTTCATCGACACTGAACAGATCTCAGAATCTCTTGTGATATTGTTTGTTGTAATTCTGACAATGAACTTTTTTTATATTGAGTTTTTTTCATGTTATTATAAGACCAGGATGTTGGCTGAATGTTGTTGTTGTTGCTTAGAGAATCAATTTTAATACAAAATATGCTTACCTAAGCTGTTAACCTTACATGATAAAATGATGATGATCATCAGGATGATAGGGATAAGGGAATTGATTGAATAGGAATGAGATAATAGATGTGAAACTGAGGTAATCAATTTGAATCAATTTAATTAAGATTAGATACTCAATAGCTCTGAAAATGAGATGATGAGGATGAGGATGATTAAGGTTTTGGTTTTTGTCTTTAAAAAAGTTAGAGTGAGAAAGGAAGATGAGCAAGATAATGTATCCAATTTCATGGATTATTCAATCTTCTCTATCATCTTCTTCATCCATCTCATCCTCATCCTCATCATCATCATCATCGTCTATGGAAACAGGATAAGGTGAAATTAAGTAGAATGAGAAAGATGAAGAACTCAGGTAAAAGGGAAGAAAATATTTCGATCTATAAAAAGATTCCATCTGAACTTTCAGAACTTTTTTTCTAATCATCATCTTAACTTTTTTTCTATTTATCGTAAGTTCATTTTTACCTGAGAAAAATAATAAACATGATTTCATGGTGATTGAAGGTTATTATTATTATTATTATATGATTCTGATTAGAGTTCTGGTGAAATTATCACCTTTTAATCAATAATAACTTACCTGGTTCAAGGTAAACACACAAGTATAAGTTGAGATAATCTTAAGGGAACTTTTTTTACTCAGTATCATGGGAGGATATAAAAAGATCATGAAAGTCAATCCCTTTTCAAAGTCTCTTGCAATTGACTTATATTGAGATGATGAAGATGAGGATAAGGATGAGGATGCTGATGATCCTTGAACACTGTTTATCTAAGCAGACATTTGACTGAGCTTCATGAAGATCATGATGAAAGATCAATAATAAAGTGACTGGTGATAAAACTTTTGATCTATCAGCGATTACATTTGATTAGATAAACTGGAAATCCACTCAGAAGATTATGTTTATAATATTATCAACTTTAAATCGTCATCATGGTAATCAAAGTTTATCAGGTAATTTATTTCAAATTCTGAGGCCAAAAGTGATTATTTTTTTTTCGCAAAATCTGAATCAGAATAGTAAAGTTTTATCATCTTTTATATTGCAACAAATTGCATGTTATCATGATAAAGGAACATTGTTATTGCTTAAATCACACAGTTAATCATTTGCCAAGGTAAATTGTCATTTAACATGCAATTGGATTCACTTAAATGTTGATTAACTGTTTAAACTATTACATGATTGTAATCATGTTAATTATCCGATTAATCGTTGCAAAGATTATCTTAATTGGTGGGACAATGAATTTGTCACCATGAAGGGGAAATTGTTGAAATTTTTCTTTAATAGTTGAGAATTGAAATTCAGAACTTTTTTGCGTCGAGTGTAAAGTTTAAAAGAACAAAAAAATTCGAAACTTTTTGATTCTCTCTCTCTCTCTCTCTCTCTCTCTCTCTCTCTGCTGTCAATCCTCGACTCGTGTCAAGTTGAATGTCAATCCCTATGTGAATATATTACATCGATGTTACCGTTAGATTAGTTTTGCCTCTTCTCATGTTATCCTCTTACTCCAATGGAGAGAGTAAAAAAAATCCTTACATGAGATGGAAGCTTAAGAGCTAAAGCTTTGAGTCTTGAGGATATTGATTTCTAAGGGAATGAGGAGATAAAGGAAACGGAAGATGAAGAGAGAGAGAGAGAGAGAGAGAAAGCATAAGATATTTAAAAGCATTTGCACTCATTCTGAACACTTGGAACTTTCTGCTTACACCATCATCATTATAAGAATTTCTGTCAGAATTTTCATGGAGAAGGTGAAATATTCTGAATGGATGTTTTCCAGGCATCATGACGACGAATATCATCATAAGATGCTGGTTTTTTGTTCAACCTTTTCTCAGAACTCTCATGGGAAAGTTATCATGTCTTTCTCCTTGTTCATCTAATATGAAAATTAAGGTAAAAAAGGTTATGTCTTTGTATTAGTGTAAAGGTAAAGAATGTCAATTAATAGAAAGGGAGAGATGGAGATAGTTGAAAGAAAACTCATTCCATCATGTAAACTGAGCTGAGTTCATGGAACTGGAAATAATAATTATATAATGAAAAAGAGGAGAACAAGAAGAAAAGAATTTTTTTTCCAAAGGTAAAGGGAAGGAAAAATTCATTAATAAAAAGATTCTCATGATGAAAAGTAAAAGATAATTTCTCTCATGTAATTTACACCATCAAGATTCTGACAATTCATGTTGAAGATGAAATTGATTCCAAGGATATCCAAAGACAAATGAATAACAGTAAAAGCTAATTTGTCATTCAACTTTTTCCTCCTCGACTTATATTCACCCTCATGGTCATCTTATCCTCTTTCACTCTCTCTCTCTCTCTCTCTCTCTTTATTTACCTTAATATTGTCATCACTTGGACTTAACCTGGACAAACAAGTTGGACAATACTAAATACAATCAATAATAATCATAATAATCCAGAATCCTTGAACCAATAGATAACAAGGTAACTCTTACATGATAAATTCATGGGAACAAAAGAGATAAAGAGAAAAATAATTATTCCAATGAGTAAGTATTACTATCATCTCATAATAATAAATGATTGTCATGGTGAGAGTATCATGAAGATTCATCATCATCATCATCATAAAATAACATTGTAAATATATTATACATATCCAAAGGTAATTGAATCTTAGAATTGATTAATATTGATCTTCATTGTCTAATCAATGAGATAGAGAATCGTTTCCCTCCCTGTAATTCATGAGCCAGAATGAGATGTTACTTATATTCTGGTTCTTAATTGTTTCATGATAATACACATGAAATTTGTTTGTAAGTTAAATGTAAATGAATTGAGATTAATATGAAAAAAAGGAGCAAAAAAAAATAGCAAATTTTCACCATGTTAATGTTGGTTTATATTTCCATGAATTGAATTGTTAATGAGGGTGGGAAGTGGTTGTAGTTGTGGTGGTAATGATTGGGAAGGGTGAATGGAGTAGTGGGTTTTTGGTTGTTTATCTAATGGGAATCAATTGATTTGAAGATAATGAAGATACCACCAAATGATAATGATTCTGATTCTGATTCTGATTTGGAGATTGTAATGATAATAAGGATTGAAACTGATTAGAGGTAAACAACATCAATCTGATTGTTGTTATTGTGAATTAAATGTAAACACAAATCTTCAATTGATGATAATAGGATGATGATGATGATGATAGGGTGTGGTTGATGTTTCAACAGTCCAATTAATTTAACTGATGATGATAATGACCAGTAAACTTGATCAGTTCTAATGAAAACAAATCAACACTTGGAAAATTAATCGAAGTGGGAGAGAGAAAGAGAGAAAAAAGTTCTAATGGAATCACTGATCGAAAAAAAAGTTTTTTTTTCTCTTCGATTTTTCCATGTTAGTCAACTAACCACACGGATAACATAAAGGATATCCGATATAATCATGATGATGGTGATAATTTAAGGACCACACCCTCAATTCATCAATTTGTTTGATTAGAATTTGTATTCGATTAGTGAAAAGAATAAAAGAAAAAAAAGTTCTAAAAAAGTTTTCTCCTTTGATTTTTCATTCTTCGAAAGTTATTAACTCATCAATAGGCTTTTCTGTTACTTATTCATCATCTAATTGCTTGGGAGTGAGAAATTAAGTTAATCAAGTTAATGATTAGTTGATTGTTAATGATAAATTACATCATGTCCACTTACAGATTATAATGAACATCGGCCATGTTGGACCGGAAGGTTAAAGCTTTTCGATAGGCCATTTCCGCTTCCAATTTACGTCCCTTGTTACTTAAGATATTGGCTAAATTGCCGTAGGCTAAAAACAAGAAGCAATTATTATTAATAGAATTAGTTAAAAATAAATTGTTCCCAAGAATTGGTCAAGTGATTAACTACCTTTAGGTGGATTAATGGTAATACCAGATCGATAAAGATCTTCCTCTGATTTCCAATCTTCATTACGATTAATTGTTCTCAACGAGTAAACAATTAACAGACCAACTAAAAGAGTATAAACAATTTTAATCCGATTTCTGGTTTTCGATTTGCTAATTGTTTGACAGTTTGATTGGATCAGCTGACAGAGAAATTGAAACCTAAAGTGATCAACAATGAATACCCCATGGAGGGTATGATAAGAATCCGTTCAGCGATAACAAAGCCAACATAAAATAGTCCATTGGTCGCCGGTAGAAAGGGTATTATTAAAAGTGACCAAGAGACTGTGAGAATGTCCATTGAAATTGAATGACCATCAATGAATTTATCTAATGAAAGATTAGCCAAAAGATTTGGATTAAGAGGATTATGTGTTGGGAGAGGCACTGGATCGTGATGATTTGACACAGTAGTTGATGAAGATGAGGAAGATGAGGAAGAAGATGATGATGATGATGACCAGTCTAATTGATTTGCATCAGATGATTTTGATGAGAACCAGGAATTGTTATGATTACCATAATCATTATTATTATTAGTTGTTATCTGATGTTTCATTGAAGATGAGGATGAGGATGAGGATGAAGAAGAGGAAGATGATGATGAACATCTCATCTTACGAGCCTTTGGATTCATTAATGAGTAATTAGCTTGATGATTATGGTTAACATCATTTTCATGTTGTAATATTGATGATAACGAGTAAGATAAATTATTAATCAACCATGGTGATGATAATGGCGATGATGATGATGATATTGATTCATCATGTGAAGAGTTAGCTTTAAATGATGATGATGATGATAAATTATTTGACTGGAATTGATATAATTTATATGAGATGTAGATTAAGATTGAATAAAACAGTAATGAGATTAGATTACGAGAATCGTTAATCCCTTTAATCAATGGGATTGACTCCATTGACCAATCAAATGATAACCAACGGGGATAAAGTAAAAGGCCAAAGTTTACACAGGGAAGATAAGTGAAGGTCAAAGCTCTGGTTAACCAGCTTGAAGATTCAGCGGCAGGATTATCGGCTGGTGAAAAGTTTGGGGCACTCAGACCCATCATGTAGAGTCGGAAGGTTATCAAAATGATGGCACTTACAATTAGATGGGTCAAACCTTCACGAAGTCCAGAATATTTGACCTGAGAAGCAAAAAAAAAAATAAATAAATAACACAATCAGTTAATATGTTCATTTTTATTAATCAACTGAATCAAATCAGTTTACCAAGAAAATAATATCATGATAATCAATTATTATATGTTGATAAATGATTCGGATAACAATCAATTGGTAAAATTTGTTACAAATCAATTAGTTGGGAATAAGGATCATTGATTGTAACCATTAAGTGTTGATTAACTTGTCTCAACATTTGTTGTTCAGTTAATTAATCTAATCCAAATTACAAATTACAAATCATTTGGTGATTATTCCTGAGAAGTTCAAGATTTTCAGAATTTCTATCCCAACAATTGACATGATGATGAAAATTGTACAACAAAATGATGTTCAATTTCAATTCAATCCTCAAGTGAGTAAACAACTTGAAAAAGTTAATTTAGTTACAATTTCACTTTGAAAGACTAACAATCAAATTTTTCTCAATTCAAAGCTCACAGTGGGAAATGATGATGATGATAATCATCATGATTAGGATGATATAATGTACCTCTGAACAATATGGGAGATGATTTCAATGATCATGATCAACATGATTGTTTGACAAGGGAAAAGGAGGAAAAAATGCTTTTTCTCAACTTCCATTGTAAGAGTAATTGTTTCAAGAGATAATTTTCAAAAAGTTGAGACTTTCAATATCATCTCCATCCTCATCTTCATCTTCATCCTCATCCTTTGACTTGAGAATGATACAAGGAACATTTAATTTGACAAGTAAACGGTTTCCAGATAAGTAACAGCAGCAAATGATTCAACACATTCAACACAATTTATCAGTATTATCATCATCCATTTGATCTTACTCATCCCTTTTATTATATACAATATATCACATATCCGATTGAGAGAGAGAGAGAGAGAGAGAGAGAGAGAGACGATTTAGACAGACAGACAAAAGAGATGCTACTGATGATGATGATGATCTGAGAAGAAGATGAAAAAAGAAGAAGAGAAAAAAATGTTCCCTTCGTTTTCGTCTCATTAGTTGCCTGAGAAAGAACTAAACTCATTGATGATGATGTCTCATCACTTTTCTTCATCTTCTTCATCCTTATCATCATCATCTCCATCTTTTTTCTTTCATCTTTATCTGTTTCTTTTTTTTCTCAATCAAATGATGTCGAGGAAAAAAAAGTTCCCTTACCAATATCAGGAATCATTGTTATACTTATATCATGGATATGAAAAGGAGGAGGAGGTAAATTTATATAGTCGAAATTGAATGAAAAGAAAGAGAGCAAATGATGATGATGATGATGATGATGATGATACAGATGATAAGGTGATGTATTATGAGAGAGAGAAAAAAAAGTCGAAGTCATTAGAAGATGAGAAAAGCATCTTTTCCATGTATTGAATTATCATCCATTTCTTTCACTTCTATTATTTGTTTATCATCCAAATGATCATCATCGTCAATCGATCCATCATCATAAATATCATCATAATCACCCAACCCTTTGTGATCAAGGTGAAACTATTCATTATCATGATTACCATGCAAGGGAAAAAAACAAAGTTACAGTTTTTATCAATTTCTCATTCATTGTTATTACCACTGAATCCATATTGATAATGAGTATAAGTAACAATTTACCTTGATAATTATGATTATAAACTTTCACCTATCATGATAATAATAATGATCAACAGTTTCCAAATTGAGTAATTACCATGAAGATAAAGTCAAAATTTTCAGATTTCATGAGATAACAATGTAACTGTTTTGCTTTTCATGATAAAAAAAAATTCAAGCCACAAAGTTATCATAATAATATCAACATAATTCATCGGATGATTTTCATTAGTAAACTATTTCAATCTCATCTTGATGATAAACTCATAGACAGAATCATTAACTGAATTAACTGAGCACAAATTGATCATCACCCAAAAATATAAAAGGTTAATATTCAATATTAGAAAAATAGATAAGTAAAAATGAGGAAAGAAAACTTTTTTTTTCTCTTTACCTTTCAAGTTTATTACTTTTTCCCTGATGGAGGTTAATTCAATTTCTCTATTTTTTTCTTTACTTCCTCATCATCATCAGCATCCTCATCAATAAGTTACTTTATACATGAATGACACCGAAGAAGAGAATAAGGATGAAGATGAAAATTGAATATCATCATCATCATTATGCAAAAGAAAAATAGATAAAGATGAAGATAGAAAAAAATGGAAACGATAAAATTGATATTGTTGTTTTTTTCTCTTCTTCTGAAATGCTCAGCTCATCAGAATTTCATATCCACCCACACCATGTAATAGATATACTACAAAAGGTAAATTGATATACTTTAGCTGAGAGAGAGAGAGAGAGGGATGGATGAAAAAGGAAGAGGAAATAGAAAAAAAAGTCTTCGAGTTTAAATGTTTGTGAAAAATTTTCGAAGTTGAATTTTTTTTTCTTCTTGTATTTTTGTATTACTATGAACATGAACAAAGAAACAAAATGTTTCATCAAATTGACTGAATACTTTGTCTTCCTGAATTTCATCCTCATCTTCATCATGATTCCCTGTTTCCTAATCGGATTAAGCTATTTGCTACTCTCTCTCTCTCCATGTAAACCCAGTATTTTCATTCCGATTTCAACTTTACCTTTCCATGTATCATTGAATCTGAATCTTTTTCCTCAGCATCATCATCATCATCTTTTCCCTCCTCGTACATATACAAGATAAATATTGTTCAAAGTGGTTTCCATGATACTCATCATGAATTGAATTGAATATTATATTTTTTTTTCCTTCATGAAATACAATTTAAATTGTATCTTAAAGTTCATGATTGTATTTTCATGGTATTTTTATTTACATGAAGATGAATGATTCCTCTTACTGAGATAAACATTTACTCATTTGGTCAATAGTTTTGGGAGTTGCTAATTATTAGCAATTAACTGAAAGATTAATTGATTTTGTTTAACGTTTTAAACTAATCCAATTTGCAAATTATAATCATCAAGTTAATTGTTCCCAGTGTTTCAAGGTGTTAACAATAAAGGTTGAATAGTAAACCATGAAGGAGAGAGAGAGAGAGAGATTTCCACCCACCCCACTGCCTTAAACATCACCATCAACATTTTAAATTAAACAAATTAACTTAAATTAGCAAATTTCCTCTTCTTTTTTTTCATTGCTGCTAATTTTGGTTCAACAATTTAATTGATTGTTCAATTTAAAGGTTAGCATCTCAATTCTTATGAGGAGTTTAAATTGTTCATGAAAACAAAAAGCTTATAACTCATTTAAATAATCATGTAAATCTAATTAGTGGAGAGACAGAAATTTAAATTGCATCAAATTGTAAGTGAAACAATTTTACCTTTGGAATCGTTTTGAGACAATCAACAATTTAGGAACAATTTAGTTGGTCAATTGTTGACTTACCTCTTTGAATAATTTTCTTAGATTTCGTATTGACCGGTGGGTGATTAAGTGATGATGAACTGCGAGGTGGTAAATTGCTGATACACCAAGGACAGTGATTCCATACTCCTTGGAAAGCATTGACCAGAAAGCGGTGACCAGTGAAGTGTAAAGGTAAATGTAGGTGACCCTTTCATTGTAGGGTGAGATTGTTTTACTCCCAGTGAGATGTTGATGGTCAGTGGGGTGGGAAATGTTTAAATCTTTGCATTGACAGTAACGAATGTAACAAATTAGTGAGATTATGAAAAATATTGTCGCCAATAGATCGGCTCGACCAACGATTCCGGCCACTGATTCCGTGTGAATTGGATGACTTGTAAATATTAGACTAGAGACGAGACAAGAGCGGGAATCTTCAGGGTGGAAAATATAAGTTGTAAGGTGGGTAAAAAGTAGACAGACTAAAGTGTAAAGGAAAACGTTTACTCCGTGATAACCGGCGGGTGAAAGTTGACCAAAATAATAGTTTATCCGGAATGAGAGGACAGTTAATGGTCGATATGATTTATGAGAACCCGAATGGGCCAAAGGGGTTCCCCAAAAGTCATTATAAAAAAGATTAGTCCAAGGTGTCGATGGGTCAAGATCGTGGTTCGTCTTGATCGCTCGACTATCAAACAAGAAAAAAAAAAAATCAACAATTAGTTACATCATTTCGATACAAGAGTAATTGTCACAATCAATTATTTCCCAAAGAGTTAACTTTCTGTAGTTCTAAATCACCTCGATGCTTGACCATAGGAGGGTATTGGTCAGATGAAAATGACGGGAAAGAAAGAGTAACTGGTAAAATAATATTCCATGGAGGAAAAAATGAAGAGTGGGTGGTGAAGAGAGGAAGTGGAAAAAAGAGCAAAAAAATTCATAAAGAATGGAAATGGAACCGGAAATGTGAGAAAATCAGGAGTGAACATTTTCTTCATCTTCTTTGAATAGGAAGAGGAAAAAAAGAACTTTTTTTCTGTTCGTTTTTACGACTCCATTGAAAACGGAAGTCATTGGTAGACTTATGATACTGCCAACATTTTACTCAACATATTAGAGTTTATTTCAACTAGAATAATGATGAAGGAAAATGCTGACCATTAGATAAGGTCAATGTTGAGAAGGGGAAACTTGAATACATAGAGAAACATATTGAAAGTTTGATTTAAAGAGAGAGAGGAAGATAATAAAAGACAGATAAAGATGAAGACATCTTCATTGATGATAATGAAAATATATTAACTGTTAATGGTCAAAAGTTGTTAACAACATTTTCCTCATCCACTGGTCATCATTATCTTTATTATATTCAGACTAATACAATGGACAGACTCAAATACTAATAGCGAGTCAATGTTCAAGGTTTGAGATGATAAAAGTTAGACAATCAAATTGATTATCATGAAATGATAATCATACTCAATTATTATCCATTCAATTTCAAATTTTATCACAACCTTCAGTTTCTAAGGTTGGTGGGTATTCATTGTTGTATATATATATCATTGAATACTCATTGCTAATAACAGGTAACAAAATATTATTCTCATGAGAGTGACTCTTATGGTTGTATGGTTGGGTTACCTTACAAGACTTTTTGTTCAACTTTATTTTGAAAAGTTCCAAGGAAAATGTTCCAGTCACATTTCTCTTAGAATCAACAGAAAAATCAACTATTGGTAATATTTTTTCATCTCATTATATCAATTGGGAAAGAATAAGAATCAAGAATCTGTAACATTCTTCTTAGTTCAACATTGGAAATTCTCATTAATATGGAAGAATAATAAATATATTTTCTTTCCATTCTTATATAATTCTCATTATATCGACTTTTATCATTCGATTTGTTCAAAGAGAAATCTTCAACTTTGGTGATATCATTTTTCATCTTCAGATCTTTCTCTTATATCCATGATGCTAAGAAGATGATACTTGAAGATAGAGAGAGAAAAAAGTAAGAGCCAAGAATTTTTCATCTTCTCTTTGAAAAATTTATCAACATGAGACTTGGAATTGTTCAAGTAAAATGCTCACATAATCTAAATGTGTATACACACACATAATACCCTCTACTCTGAATGTTGAAACATTTTTCTTAGATTAAATTGGAAAATTCTACTTTTTTCTCTCTCTTTCTTTCTCTTCATGGTTCTTTCAGCATTCTGAGTATTCATTTTTCCCACTTTTAATATCATGTACTCATCTCTCTCTCTCCATGTATTTGTTATCATGACTTTTTCATCCCACCCCAACATCATTATCATGATACAACAAATCTTTATATATTCCTACCTTGTAACCAATCATATTATCATAAACTTGAGCAGTGGGAAGGGTATGCAACATGAAAATTTCAACTTACTCTGTGGTTCAAGTGTATTAGTGCTTGATATAATATATTGGATAAAAAAATTCTTCCATGAAAAATGTTCACAAAAATATCTCTAAGAAAAACTCAGCAAACTGAAATATTTACTCATTCAAATGAAACTTGATTTCCAATTGATTATCATGATCAATTTTTAATTGCTGTTAATCAGTAAATTTATCATTAACATAATGTACTCCAACAGAATGAGTATCTCTCATGAATATATCCATGGATATGTTACTCACAATTCCCATGTGAATTTCCTAGTTTTCATGTAAAATTCATACACAGAAAACATTTATTATTATCCAATTAATATCCAACATGATCAAACACTTTCATGATCATCATGATGATTTATTAATCACTTGAGAAATGATTAAGTTAAACTTTGAAATTCACCTTGAAAATAAATGACAAATCTGATCAACTGGTTAAATTTACTAACCTTAAATTCAATTAATATTCTGACTGATAATCTGGAAGAATTAACAAAAAAAGTTCTGTCAAAGTTTTCGAAAAGAAAAGTTGAATGAGTTCGAGGAAGGAAAAGATGAAGAAAAAAAGTTCGATACAATTTTCTGAACAAAAAGCTCGAAATAATTATGATGAGCTCAGATGAGACTCTTTCTCATCCTCATCATGATTCTGTGTGAAAAAAAAAGTTCAGCTAACCAAGAAAAAGATGAGATAAGTGGAGCGATAATAACGATAACATGATAACTCGTGATGGCGAAAGAAATGAAAATAATATCAAAGAGAAAAAGAAAAGTGTAAAGAGAATAAAAAAAGTAGAATAAGAAAAATTTGATATTCTTTTCACATACAAATATTTTGACATTCTCTTTGCTTTCATGATCTTCCACCCCCAAGACCGCACCCTTTTCATCATCAGTATCATTTCAACTTCTTTTCTATTAGTAACTTTCTTTTCATTATTTCCTGTTCATCTTATTTTCTTTTCTATTATTTTTTTCCTCTCCATGACTTTTTCCCTCTTCCCTGATGATATATTCATCTTTTCTCATATTAATACAAACACAATAATCATCATCTTCATCATTCATCAGAATTTTATCTCCACCAGAATAAAACACTGATTCTATTCAGAAGCATATGATGAAATGAGTTAGAACTGATTAGAACATTTTATTTTCTCTTTTGAATGGTGCAGAAAAAAACTCTCTCTCTCTCTCAAATCGAGGAAGTTAACTAGCAAATACTATTCAATGGAAACGATAATCAAACATTCAGTTCTGGGACAAAGTTTCATGAACAAGGAAAACAACAACAAAAAGACTAACATTTGTCATGGAAAATGTTGAATAAAATATATTATAAAAAAAGTTGAAAATTCTGAATAAACTTTGAATAACCTTTTATTGTCATTCCCATTGAAATCATGGTAATGATATAATATCTCACATATACACACAATTGTAAATGTGATTATCATGTAAATTTGATTGCTCGGTGATAAAAAGAGAGAGATAAAGATAGACTCATGAGTGTCCATGAAAAAATTTGGAACAAAATTTCAGGGTAAAAAAGTTTTTCCATCAAGTTCTGAGCCAATTTTACCTTTCCGATTCAGAGGAAGAGGTTTCCCCTTTTCTTAAGCATCACCATGATGATCATCTTCAATTTACATATAATATATATTATTCAGCGAAAAATGAACATTATGATGATATTCATATAAAACTACAGAAGATGAACACTGAATACCCACCATGAGCTCAGATAACATTAAACTTGTTACCTTGGTAACGAAATGAAAGTGCTAATAATAATGATGATGATGATAATAATACATAAGACATTTCAATGAACAAGTAAACTGAAAATATCTGAAACATGATAATACTCAGGGTGAAAGTTGAATAATATTCAAAGATAAAGTTGAGAGAGAAAAAAAATTTTTTCCATCCAATGTTTATCAATGGAAACAATCATGATAATCTAGTTCAATGTATTAACTGTGAATCTTTTTTCATGATGAATGTCCAGAGATATGCAAAAGCGAAAACAAATATAATGAAAATATCAAATTTTTACTACGATTCTGGTTTTATTATTCATCTTTTGTTATCATGGATTCTCAATTCATTGATATTATATCATATAAATTCAGTTGAATATTCAATCAATCAAACTTGATAATAGTAATAATTTCAATATATATTGATAACAATAAACAAACTGACCAAGTTTGATTGGTCAGTAAATATTTTATTCTGAATGATATTCATCTTCATGGATGAATCACCATCATGATATTTTAACAACGATAAAATAAACAATTCCAATTGAATATAAATCTAATCAGATTGAGGTTATCATGATACTTTTTGTGAAGATTATCAATATGATAAAAGATGAAGAAATCAATGGTCACTTTAAAAGTCACATTTGATCATCTTCTTGACCATCATCATTCTGATGACGATGATGACATGATGATAAGAAAGAAATCAAAGAGAAGATAATAAAACTGTCAATAGAACTTTTTTTTTATGTTCCAACTGGGGAAAGATTAAAGTTTCATGGAAAAGTTCAATGAGATAATTCAGGAAACTTTAATCATTTTGATGGACAATGTAAAGATTATGATGAAATGAGAAGAGAAAAAAAAGAAAACTGAAAAATTGAAGATGAAAAATTTTCGATTGGTCAATATTGATTCTTCCTGTCCAGTGAAAAAGTTCAGAGCTAATTCTGAGCAGAACTTTTTTCCTCTCTCAAAAGTTTCAACAGATCTTGTAGCTTACCATGAAAATCTTATTTCTAAACAAGTTGAGTAAATAAATTCCTCCTCATGGTAACAACAACAATCAACAACATGGTAACTTGAATAATATCAGAACTTTTTTACAGGAACTTGCTCATTATTATTGTTATCGTCGTTCTCTTCATGATCAGATGATAAAAATATCAACATGAGATGAAAATATGAATGAATATGAGATTATATGAGATTTAGGATTTTTCTTTCTACCATTAAATTAACACAATTATGTTCAATTCTAATTGTTCATGTTCATCATTGTTACTATTCAGAGTTATTTACACCATGAGATAAATATATACATACATATGTATGAATATTATTATCAGAATTCAAGTTAGATTATTATTAGATTAGCTTTTCTTTTTGGTTAACATTCATGATGAACATGTTTCATGATAATATCATATTATCAGAATACAGAATATAATCAAACTAAGAGCAAAAAGTTAGATAAAGTTCA